CATTTCAAATTTATTTGTAGATCGATTTGTTCATTTTTGGAAGGTCTTGGAACAATTAAGCAACTTCAGTTCTTTTGTATCATTAGCTGGCACAATTCAACAAAATTGATCAACTAAACCTATAAACATAAACAAGGCCTCTAATATTCAAATAGAAAATCAATTGTAATTTGGGATGGTGCTGCTTATTAATACATATTGGTCGTGTCCTCTCTGAGCATGCTCAGAGAAGACAAGCCACCATTTGCATTCACACAAATATTGACGCATAACCTGAAAGGTGAATTAATACCTGGATTTTGACAATTTAGCAATTAAAGGTGAGTTTTTGGTACAAACACTGACATTTTGGACTCTAAGCTTCAGTATTCTGCACAGATTGTTTTTTGTGATTTTGGTTCCAATTGTTTTGATTAGATATTGGAAAATGCATGTTTTTCTGCTCTGTTAATAATTCAGTTGTTTATATACCTTGAGCAATAATATCAATAGTAGGCTACATTTATGAGGGAATAAAAACCAAGATTATGTAGCATTCTAACATGCATGCATCTAACATACTAACATTAATAACAAATATATAAAAATGATATATATATGAGAATGATGGCAATACATTACCTATCTTCATAATAAGTAGTTGTGAATAAGGGAGTTAATAATCAGTATAGGAGAAATAATTGTGATATAACAAAGAGGTGTTAACTAAGTTTATTTATTCACAAATAGCTTCCTTTCTATATTAGCTTTGAAAGATCTCTGAGAGCTTTGCGTAGTGTGTCTTAATGGAATCATTTCAGCGAGTTCATTAATACACTATTGTTAATGTCACGTCATACATAACTCATCACCAAATAATCTGCTATAACAATTCACCATATTCACAATAACTGAGTTACCTGTCAATTTTAATTACTTCAGGTTGATCCGCATGATGGGGTTATTCATTATGTAACTTTAATGATTATAATTAATACTTCTAATTAATTAATTGGGGAATATTTTTCAGACATCTATGTTGATATTAAGCTATTATGGTAGTAAACCTAGTCCAAAATCAAAATAAATCTATAAAAAGTTATAATGACATTTTTATTTTTCATTACTTATAGAATATGGTCTCCTCATAAAGTAAAACAATAATTTACATTTTTGGTATTACATTACAAAAGGTTTTTATTGTTAATACTAAATCTCCCTGGTAACTCTCTTTCCTATGATATAATTTCTGCATCTTTCTTTCGAATAGATGCAAACGGATATAGATTTTTATTTCTGCAGTATTTGATACAATGTGACCTTCCAGTGATAAATGCTCTCAAGTTATGAACATGTCTAGCGGGGTATCCAGTTACAATATAAATGAGAAGAGAGATTTGATAAATGGATAAATGTCACTAGAGACATAAAATATACAATACATAAATATGAACTGAACAATATTGACATTAGAAATAAATACATGTAGCATATGTCTTCTCTGCCTTTTTCAACATCTAGAATCATTCAAAAATGGAATTCAAAGTAAATCAAAGCAAATCAAGTTGATGTCATGTCCGAAGAATGCTGACAATTCATTGCAGTTTCATTGACATTAAATTATATCGAATAGAACAATAAATATTTAAAGATAAAGCACTTATTTAGAGACCGCTCATTTCATCAACCAAGCTGTAACAAAAGCACTGTTATTCTTATATTTACATTACCTGAAGGCATTGGGAAACAATCTCTAGAAATCAATCTCCATTTGGATAGCTAGAAAATGCATGTCAAAATCAATAAATGATATCTTGAGTGTTAAGAGGAAATTACCGCAATATTTGCATTTCAGGAGAGCTTTTGTTTAGGGAAATTATGGGATACAAACTTGATTTCAAAATGATGTTTCGATGGTGATGTTACAATTGCTTTCTAATTGGAAAACCATTGAAGAAGAATTGTCCCGTGGATGCAAAATAGTTGACCTTTGGCTCATTTGATACGCTACATTCCCGAGCTCTGTTAACAATAAATTGACATAATTTTCTTGTGTATCTAAAATATAAATGATTGTTCATAGCCTGTTTATAAAAGTATAGTAAATTCCAATTAGTTCAAATAAATAGCTTTTATGGAGATTGTCATAGTGACATTATAAAAGAAACACTGGAATTGCAAGCTATGATATTTTCAAAATCATGTCATTTTGAAATTTTTATTTTCATATTTAATGACAATTTATATGGCATAGACTTGAAAGAAAATTTGAAAGATAAAACAGCATCTCGTACTTTAATTCAGTTGTATTTATTATTATTAAGGGAAACAAACAAATGATTTTTTCGCAGCCAAGAGAAAATATCTTCATGAAAAATTTGCTGATTTGTTGCCAGTTGATGCTCCCATGGCATAATCCATTTTTACCTCCAGCTATCGTTGCATGTTCTGTTATGGTGTCATTCTGGTGTGGACCTCATGTCCTTAACATCATTACTCAATTAATAATGGCTCTTCACTATTATTCACCTTTCTGTATACTGTACATTTATAAGGCTGTCATATTACCAACTTGAAATTACTGTAACATGTTACCCTTTTAAAAAGACCTTAACCCACAAGGGAAGTAATCGCTACTAAGATCTGAGTTGGGTTTTGGTCAAGGCTTGAGAATTCAAACTCAAAATTGTAAATAGTAAAACCTTTTGTTTATTGAAAGAAGAATATCTCCTTGGAAACAAGGTTTAATTAAAGCGTAACAATACAGGAAGTGAAGACAGGAAGACGTCTACGCTGTATCATTTGTCAGAATTATTATTGCTTCATAGCTATCATTATTGTCTGAACAGTCTAAGCTAGAATTTCACATTCTTTCTCTGACATTCAGATACTCACCATATCTTTCTGTTCACTACTCAGAATAAAATAAAGCAGTATTATTAAGTTGCGATTGAGGTTTTGAATATACATTTATAAATCTTACTTCCGTGTATTTATGGACTCATGTATTGAATTGAAACTTTAATCCCAGTATTTTTACTTTTTAGATGTCATTATCAAGATATTATCTATATTATCTTATATAATCACATCTCTCCTTTTGAAGAAACTTTTATTTGTCACTTTCCGAGGGAGATACTTTGGTTTACATGTTTTAATTCTGTTTTAAAGAGAGAATCAGATATAGCGAGCAGGCTAAACAAAAAATTGTTTCAATTTTAGAATATTTTTGGCTCATGTCATTCCTTGTCATGTCTATTTTCTAAAAATCACAAAAGTGCATACTTTATTCCAGGAAAACTAAAGATTTTTACAATAATGTATTATTTTTCTAGAAGAATGGTTACCATTCTTATTATTTGGGAGAATTTAAACATTTTTCACTCATTTTTGCACTTTGAATCATTAATAACTTCATCAATTTATAACATATTGTGAATCTTTTGGGAGATATTGTATTTGATATTGTAAGGAATGGATTGGTAGGTCAATTATACATGTTGCTTGTAATTTTGTCACCCCCTATAGATCAGATTCTGCCTTTAATCTAATCATTCTATTATCAAACAAAGCAAGCTCGATATAGTCCCTAGGTAATTTGATATCTATTGAAAGATACAGAAATGATGAAGATAGATAGATTTGAATCTGTCCTTACGTTACATTATTCAGGTTTACGTCACGTCATTAACAAGACATATGTTGTCAAGATGGATTATACTCAGCTTGGTAATTACGTGATTGGGTTTAAGCGGATCGCATAAATAATTAACAGCCCCATGAATTATAATTATACAACAGTCTATGATCTAATTGTAATGAGAGTGAAGACTAATTATTAGGAGCCAGAAATACTACCTGCCTATTTTGAATATTTTTTTTGATGAATTAATTTGATGTAAGCACCTTTACTAACAATATCTCATTTCCTTGGGTGCACTGTATTTTCAGCATGATTCGTATCCAGAAATTTGGGAATACAGCGTAAGTTATCTGTCTGTATGACATGTCGGAAAGTAACCTTAGTAACAGTCTGTTACTATAGCAACCCTATTCTAAAGTCATATCGGGAAAAGGTTGCACACAAGTTTCATGCATTTGTGAACCCTGTTAACATAGAAAATCTGAAATAACAAAATCTTACTACAGTAGTTAGCATATCTATACAGAATATTAATCAAGTGATTTTCTATGGTTACCCTGACAACCATGATTCAACCTCCTTTGCATGATTTAGCCTAGTGTTAGTCTCCCATAGTATCATCATCAGAGTTTTCACGTTTGAAATATACCAGTGTTTGTTGCCCATTGTCTATCACAGCTTCTACATGTTAATCTTCACATTTCTACATGTTAATCTTCATATTTCTACATGTTAATAGTCACATTTATTTCTCCTATACATTTATATTGGGTAGTTAAGTAATTGCATTTGGCTGATTTAAGAACTTCAGTATTGCATGCATTGTAGCACATTCTGCTTAAAGGTCCTGTCTATGTTTATGTCTGGCCCAATAGCCATCCATGCTTTAAAACACGAGCCTTTAATAATTGATTATTTGAAATACTATACATGAAAGTAGTTTACATTCCTTATTCAATTATTTCCAATTGATTTTATGATTTCTTGGCAACTACAACATTCAATAGATTTCTGTTCATTTTATTTTACATTCTGCATATTGAATCTGTGTTAACCTTAAACAAATTTTAATTTCTCACTTTAATATCTAACAATTTAACCAAGCACATGTATGTATGGGATGTGATCATTTCCAAAGGTTGTAAAAATGAAGCTTTGGGAGCAAGATTTACACAAATCCTCTAACAATACGATATCAGTCTGGCACACAGGCTCAGAAAAGTGCACCGTATTGGATACCTTGTTTATTCAATTTGCACAAATTTTTGGGGTTGTGAGTTGCACTGAAGATAACATATATGCACAATATGCAACCTTTGGTAGATGACACTTGAATTAGATTGTTGAAAATATATTAAATGACCATTGTTTATTACAGAGTGGTCTACATAACCCACCCATTGACAAACCTGGCCAGTTCAGCAGATAGTAAGTCAATTTATTATTGTTTAATTAGAGTGGGGTGGGATGTGTAGATATCTCCATCATATACATACTCACAACAAAGAGGGGAAGAGACTGCAGCATTTTGAATATTTTGATTTGTACATACCTGTACCTCTATAATATTGAATTGTTCCCCATAGTAAAAATATGCTCATTATATTTTTTGTTTTATACTTTCTATAGTTTACAATGTGTGTATTATAAGAATAGATCCATTGTATGTTTACCCTATACTTATAGTAGAAGGTTGATATAAAATAAAAATATTATTGGAACCATATTTATATCTCACTATGAGCCACCCAGTATGATACTCTCATTCATTTCCTCCAGTACTGAAGGTCCAGACTCAGATGTGCGAAGTGTAGGATCTGGTTCTCAGCTTTCACCCCTGCAATCCAAGGAGGCTTATCGGCAAGTTCTCGTTGGGGGAGAGGTTCCCGTCAGTGGCTTCCGCAAACAAGTACCAGATAGACCCGCAGGTGAATATTTTACAAAATTAACATATTTAAAATTCAGTTTCATATTATTTTCACTTTTCTGATATAACTCTTGACCTGCAGAATTGGGGTTACACATATTTTGTATGATATAGATTTCTGTTAACATTATTTCACTTTATTTCTCTATTTCTCTTCTTTAATTTACAATGTTGTCATTCTATATATTGTAATTTCACTTGTTAGAAATATGTGTTTAGAAATATTCTTTAACATTGTGTTATGTTGTGTTAATAATGTATAGAATATGAAAGTTGTCAGCAGTTCGACTTATAATCACTATTTAAACTAAAAGGCAGAATAATGTGTTCATAAATCTTACTGCCTGGCACCTTATATGTTGTATGTAATCTCCCTGCATGTTTGTATGGATATAAATTACATTAGATTATTCGGTGTTCACAGACTTGTCCAAGGAAGTCAAGACAACCAATTTTAATTAAAAACAATTCATTCTCCCATTATACTTGTATTTGAATGAGAGTGGGAAATTGATATAAAAATGGTGTGCTGTTTGTATAACACTGATGATAATGTCACCTAAATGAGTAATAAAGATCGTAAATAACCCATAATGGGGAATAAATCTATACTTAACCTTACACAGTATTTTACACCAAAATTGCTAATTTCATCTGAGAAGCCTAATTTTTTATTCAGCACTATGTTCAACTTATTTTTTATGAATGACTGTTTGTGTAAAGTTCATGTGTGATTATCTATGATAAATGTATTATTTCATGAAACTCACAAAATCAAACTGATTCTGTATGTCCATGCCTCGTAAGGTTACGCATGGTTGATTGTTCTGACTTCCATAGATAAGGTCCATAATGGGGATATAATCTGATCTATGGCAACCGGTACTTGAAATTATATGGATTTATTCCTCATATAGAAATTGTGTACATTTCCATCAATCTATTATGAAAAGAATGAGTTCTATGTTGCCATTTGATTGGTCAGAATATTGGTCTCCATGGGATCTCATTTTCTAGACATTTTGGATGTTATGCAGAAATAGCAAAGCATGTCTGACTTGTACTTGTACAATGTTACTTAAAGTGACAATATGTTTTGCATGAGGAAAAAAAGAGTTTGGTGCAGATTTTTCTGTTTGTTAGTTAAGGAATTAGAAATCAATGAGGTAGAACTGTTTTTGGTTTCTTTAATGTTTGCATGTTATGTTTTCTTATTTTATTTGTGGAATGTCGGTTTTGCATTTCCCTTATTTTTGCTGTTTATTTGTTTCTCAAAATGGTATACTTTCCATCACCTGGTTACCCATGATTCATGTGCAATGGTAGTTTTTCCCCATGATGCTTAGCAAAAGGCTGGTGTTCTGAAAGATTCAAGGCTTATTTGGAGTGACAAAAGGATGGGTATGTATAATGTATATAAAGTACATTTCTGAAAACATGAATTGTCATATACATGTAGAACTACTATGATTCTTTCCACAAGTCTCTTGATAAAGAAAAGCATGAAAAGAAAACAATGAAAACACTATATTGGAGTAGCTTAAGAATGACATGAATACATATTGATATACATCAGTGTTGAAATAGCAACTGCACTATTGTCAGGAGAGCTGTCCAAGAAATGGTTAAGACAAAAACTCCTACAGTTTCATTGTCATCACAAATGAAGGAGAGAATAGGAAAAGATCAAAACTGAGATGGAACTTTTTGTACATCTAATACATTCATTAGATTATAAAATGAAAGTTAACATGAACTAAAGACATAGACCATGAACTAAGGAACACCAGCTTAAGTAGATCAAATGATGTTGTTGCCATCAATGTAGCAGTAATATAAATCTTAATATTTATCTGAGTATGGGCTGGGTCATTAATAGTTGTTTGCATTATGCTTTGGTTACCTCTGATTCTCTTTGTGCCTTTGTATATATATATATAGTGTAGTGATTGCACTAACCCCTTTCTGCACTTTCATTTTTCACAATTGGTGGCTAAGAAAAAGAGAGACTTGACTCTTATGAATGCTTAATTAAGAACTGAATGCATGATGAACTGGATCCAGTGGATGCATATGCAGAATTTGAATAACTAAAGCTTTATGAAAGTTTTTAAGTGATTGCAAATAATTTTGTTGAATTTAATGATTTTTCTACTAACCAGTAACAATGTTCTGTCTTTTCAGCCATATCTGATGTAGATTATGTCTCTGGCTGGCAAGATGCTCTCTCATATCATAATATCACCCATAAACACTCAAAACAACCGATCAAACATTCCCCTTACCACAGTGCCTTCAATCCACCCAATGCTGACCCTTTGAAAAATTTAAAATCTTCACCTAATCCTAAAATCTCTAGACGTAAACATCGAAGAAAATTAACCCAAGAATTAAGCCCTCGTAGTGCCAAATCAACACCAAGTCCAACTCCTGACCCCTACTTATCTTCAAATAAAAATCATTCTACTTACTTAAATGAAGAAGTTACTGCTGGTCATATGTATCAGAATTCCTTTGAACAATCTAAAGGTCACCGTGACCCTTGTATAGCTGTGCGAAAAGATAATGCAAAAAGGTTCTCATTTACTAAAGCTCAATTAGGTGATGACATTTTCTCACCCTCATCTCCCCATATGAACCCAACAGAGCAAAGTTTAGAAACCTACAAACAATCAGCCACCAATTCTTGGTTAAATGACCCAGTGCATCATCATTTACGTGCAAATGGTAGTCAAATCACAATCCATTTACATAATACTACACAAAGAGAATCAGATGTAACTGTTGATATTAACATTGGGGAAGGTCACAAATCTGCTCAAGCTCAATCTCATGTAGAATCTAGTCCTGTTGAGAGGGATTCTAGGGTAAATGAAAATCACAACAGTGCTCAAGATAGATCATCAGTCAATTTAAATCATCACTCTGATAATAACGCAATAGAAACTGTTGTCCAAGACATGTATCCAAGACAGTCTTCAGGGGTTAGAATTTCAAAGTTTAGCAGCTCAAAGGTTTCCAACAGGTCACCTTCACCTTTAAGGTCAGATGACTTAAGAGGTAGATCCAGACCAACATCCGCACAGCCATCAGAGTTGAGCAAACAATCTACACCACAACAGAATGAGTCAAAGGGTGTTGTTATCAAACGTGCAGGTGTTAAGAAGGACACTGAGAACAAAGACAGTATAGCTCCTTCTTTAAGCAACAGACCAAAGTCATACCATGGAGCGGAATCGGATTCTAAATCTTCAAGCACTGGTTATTTAAGACGAACAAAGAATGTAGACACATACGATTTTCCTGAAAAACCTAAACAATTTGAATATGGGAAAAGAGAAAAACCTCAAGACAACATACAAAGTAGAATCTCAAAATTAATGGGTAGCACAAACAAGGAGAAATCAACCAAAGATGACTCCAATATCTCAATGCCATCTAGTGTAAGAAGTTCACGTTCAAATCTCGATAACTCAAGTTTCTGGGATGGTTTTGACTTAGGTGCCACTAGTCCTGGAGAATCATCCATGGGTTCAATGTCCGCTATTAATGATCTTGTCAGAGATCCCAAATTACGAGAAGAACTTCAACGACCAGAGGTGTTGGAACTATTAAGGAAATATGATCCAATGGGGTCTGAATCAAGCTCTCTTAACTCAGAAAGTTCATATGTCCAAATCTATGAAGAAACTAAATCGAAGAAGCAGAGAGATAAATACCGTGAAAAAGTTGAGACTTTGTATAAGTCAAGAGTTGAAAATGATAGAAAGTCGCCAGATTCCCCATATCATTCTTTTGATAATGAGCGATCTGGGGATGTGATACCAACATATGTACCAGGTGTTAATAAAGATGTGTGGGATGAAGTTGACCATGAAAGGCAGGTGTCTAATGATTTTGCCCAGCCTGACGAATCAACTGATGCTATCCCTGATTCATACGCTGATATACCACCCCAATCAGAAAGTACTCCTAATAAGAAAAAGAAGAAGGTTCGAGTCAGAAGGCATGACTCGCTGATTAAGTCAGCTTCAGAACCAGATATCCCAAGAAAATTATTGAACAATAAAAGGGGTATTTTGAAGAATCCATTAAGCACCGAGGATATCATATCCAACTTAAAATCTCCATGTCCCTCAGAATGTAGTGAACGACCAGCCAGGATCGATCATAATACATACCAGTCATATGCTGCTGGTATATTGCATTCCTCACAAAAGGGGAAGAAGTTCATGAGGCTTCAACAGAATTATGCTATCCTTGAATATGTAGCAAACCTTGAGACTTGCATACTAGAATCAAAGGAGCCTAGACCTGTTGGCAGTGAACGGTTGACTGAAATGCATGTTAAGTCAAAGATTGGTCGAATGGGACAAAGAGATGATCTCGATGGAAATGGGAAGATATCTCAAGAAAAATTGAAACAGTTCAAAGAGCTGCAGCTCCTGTATAAGATTCTGGATGAAGCACAAGAGAAGGATGAATTTTACTATGACAATGACAATATTGCCCAATTTCAGTGGAATCCCTACAAGGATTACAGTATAAAATACAGAGAAAAGTCCTTAGATGATATCTATGGCATATTTGAATACAATGACCCCAATTTGAACTACAAAAGGGGGAAATCAAGACCAAAATCTAATGGTTCTGATTTCCGAAGAGAGTTATCTTTCCGTAAAGTTCTTGAAAAATATAAAAATCTAGATGCTGAATCTAGAGAGAACATGACTTTTGATGATTTTTTCCAGTCTCAGAGATCAAGAAGGAACTCTGATGCTTCATCGATATACAGCACAGCAAGCACAGTTCCTGGCAGTTACTTACAGATGCAAGAAAATGCTAGTAGAAGGTCTAATGATATAGTTCTGTATGGTACCAATATCGATGAAGATTCTAATAAGTATGAACAATATGTTGAATCCTTGAAAAATAGGTCTAAATCATTGCCGAATCTGCATCGAAGGTCATCTGAACAATCTGTTGAAGAATTGAAAATTGACGAGCCAAGATCAAGATCTGTTAACAGGTTTAATGATGAAAGAAGGCAAAGTGAACCACTATCCAAGAAAAATCAACAATATGAAATGATCAAAGTCAGTCAAGGAAATCAAAGTATGACATACCCTGATGAAGAAAAAAAGATTGATATCCAAGATAGGCGTTCTAGATTTGAGAAACATGCAGCGCCACAAGTTGAGACTCAAGTCAGAAATAAGGAGAAATATGCATCCAACAATGAGGGTAAAACTTCTTTTAAGGATAGGAAGTCTCAATTTGAGAAGGAAAAACAGCATAAAGTAAAAGAAAAACCTAATCTCAGATTGGCACCAATATCTAAGGAAAATATTACTAAGGAAAATAGTAATGAAAGAAAAACTTCACATAAACCAAGAATTATGGCATCACCAAGCGATTACTGGCATCCAGCACTTCCGCCACCAGTTTCCGACATGGAACCAGTCACAAGAGATTCACCCAATGAATCAGATGTAAAAGAAACTCATATAAATGAAATTGTTGTAAACCTCAATGGATCTAAATCTCATGGAACTCTTTTGAAACCAAGTAGAGTTATCCAGGAATCTGTTAACCATGCAAAGAATAGAAAACTCTCCACATTAGCAAGTTCAGATGATTCTTATAGCAAAACCAAGATCAATTCTAGAGACACAGCAACAATAAATAAACAACATCACAAAAGGGATGGTCCTAAAATATCTGCGTCCCCTCTTGTTGATCCACAAAATGATATACCTAAAATTTCTGCATCCCCTCTTGGAAAGTATATTTCATCCAGTAGTTCTACACAAAATCAACAAGATAGAATAAAGTCTCGAGAAAGTGTGCGTCGGGAACAGATAGCCCAAGAAAGTAGCAATCTAAATAGCCATTGGAAGGATCTTCAAGCTGCTTACATTACAGGTAAAGAAAATAAGTCTCCCAATAAGAATAGCTTCAGAAGAGGAGTAGATGACAGTCCAAATGCAGATGTTGAGAAAGCAGTCAAACAGTTTGAAGATGCAAGTAGTGATGAACCATTGCAAAGATCTTCTGACTCCCCAAAATATGTTGATCCACCTAAACCAGACACCATCATAAAATCTGAATCTCAAGGTTACAAAAATGATAGACCTGTTCTTATGAAACCTGTATTAAGTAAGGTTAAACCATATTCAGGTCATGCTAATTATGAGAACATTGATGTTCCATCTGATTTCCATATCCCTACTACAACAGTTGCTTATGTTGCCCCAGTAGCGCCAACTGTTCCTCAAAGAAGTCAAAGAAAATTTGATATCAGAAATTATAAACCTTCCTCGACAATTGAAAGATTCCGACATGAACAGATGACAAGAATGAATAATAAACCACCAGTATCAACGCAGGATTCTTTTTTAGTGAGTACTGAGGGGATTGGCCGTGTCTTAGACCATAATATGGGTGAAAGACCTGGCCAATCTTCTCGTGATCAGAACTACAGACCACTACAAAATGTTCATATACCAGAGAGGGACAACCAAATCAAACCAGAAAAACTTGTCCCAGATGATACTGAACTGAAGCCTGATGCTAAGTATCCAAATATCAATGAGTTCAGTCGAGATATCATGGTTGAGAGGTCAAACTCAACTACTGCCTTAGCAGATGAAAAATCCCTTTTCGATCCAGGATATGGCCAATTAGGTAAATGGTCAGGGTTGAGTGAAGGTCTAGATAGCAGTCAGAACTTTGCGGAACTTGAGAAGCAGGCTCCTTCTGAACCATTGCAAAGACAAAGTAGCATTGCAGGGAGTGATGACACTATGGTATATAAAACAAGTGATGATGATAATGATGATGAAGGAAGTGATGATAGATATGACACTGGGAGAGAAGTGAAACCCCAGTTTGAGAATAGACTTGAGAAATCGCAGTCAGATCCTAGTATCACAAATGATGATGTAAATGATGATGCACCTCAGCGACCACGAAGTGCAAAATCCCAACACGATGTTACAGATTATAATTTTACCTCACTTAAATCTAGATATGAATCCGGTTATATGTCTGGTCCTGAGGACAATGCTACAAGATCTGGTGGAATACAAAGAACAATTTCTGGAGAATTGTCAGATATCCGTAAGAAATTTGCCCATAATGGTTCATTTGGGGAGAAGTTAAAGGAAAGGTCTGGTCCAGATGATAATGGGATTCCACCTTATAAAGCACCCCCAGAGTATAACAGTCAATCTTACTCAAAAACGACTCCAGATTTTTCTCAAATTTCAAACAGCTCTGCACTGCAATACAGATTCAAGAAATACCAGAATATAAATGACTTTCCTCCCCACCCAAAATATGAGTCTTCTCAGAATGATCATAGCACTTCATCCAATGATTCACAGAATGAACTTCGTCAACCAAGATATTCAAAGGTTCGGCCTAAAGTTGTAAGACACCTCAGTTATAACACAGGTTCCAAACAAGTATCACCTTCATACAGTTATGCTCATGTCAAACCAGACCAACAACCAAAAGATGTTAAAAGGCGCGACATTAAACCCGATGGAAGTGCTTATGATATTTATGATACATTTAATATGTCTGGGCCTCCTTATATTCGAGAAAATACAGAACCAGGCACAACAGTTGACTCAACGCAATCACCATTTGATAGGAAGAGTAATTTTTATCAGTCGCATAATACTTATAACCCAAACTTCCACCCTTCTTCTACCATGCCCCAGCATCGTCCATACGAGAACCATGATGCTATTCAGAATCATGTACGCCCATATGAAAACTTTTCTGCCTATCATCAAAATCAGGTTGAAAGTGATACACCTGCACAAACACAAGCAAACCCTAATTCTAAAATCCCAACCTCCCCATATATATCCATTAGTGAGAATTACCATACAGTTGCTGTACCAAAATCCTCCACTAAGGCACAGCCACATAGCAACCAGATATACCATACGCATCACAATGCTGCCAGAGCTGCATCTGGACCCTCTGAATCTACTCCCGGCATGGTCTCCATGGCAACTAACAACCCTGACAACATTGAAGGTTTTTGATTTTACTAACATTGTCTATCTTAACTTTCCTTTCATGTTGTAATGTGAAGTAGCGTGTAGTGATTACTTGAGGTTGAATTGCAGGTCGTTACTATTACAGTAGGTTTGCATAAGAAAGTATAAGTGCATCCTGGGAGCTTATTGCAAAAATGAAGTGGCAAAAAACGTGATTTGAATAATATCACAGTTATGTGGTTCAGTTCAAATGGATAACTAGATATTGAAGCTCAATATGGTTGCATAAAAATTGATTTGCCCTGGAACAGATGTTATAGATAGATATACAGATAGTCTATTAGAGTATTTTATTAGGCAACATGTGTTTATAACAGAACAAAAGATAAATAGCTGGGTGTGTTTATCAGGCAAATATGAATAGTGTCAAAACCATATTCATGAATTTTTGGATTAAATGTTGGTTATGAGGTCAAATTTTTTAGGAGTAGTCTTGTCTCGTTTTTTGCATCAAGTTTTTGTGTTCCCATTATCAGCAGAAATTCTTATACAGAGTAGGAAAGGGGGAGGGAGGTTTATGAACAAAATCTTGGGTTCACTGTGATGTTTACTTTAGTGTTGGTTTCTTTTGTAAACAGGTGATGGATTTGATATACTTTATGTTTTGTTTTTTTTGGCTATTTTATTTAGCATGCTGTATTGCTGTTGTATTGTGTTGTGATAATTTCACTTTTTAGGTGATGGATGTAGCATGTATATTCAGCATCACTTGAGTCTGAGTTGAGATATTATGATCACGGTCTGAAATGGGAATATGATTGGATGAGACTAAGGAAAATTTTGAACTTAAAAGCAAACGTCCAATCATAATCCTCGAAACGATCATCAATATCCCAACTGTATTTTATAATGAATGCCATTCGCACATCAGATTGACTTGAATACTGTATAGTGACAAAGCATGTTTATGATGTAGAGCCTATAGCATACAGTCCACCAGCAGGGAAAGGTGACAAACGATCGCCCAAACGTGCCCCACGTAGCCCTCTTACTGCTGTAGAACAATTAAGAGTCACTAGCCCTCCACCGCAGAGGGAAGAAGGTATACAGTAGTCCTTCCCTTCCTTGTTACATACTTCACACACATTGCCCTCCCCTTGTTGAATATTTTACTGCGGCTATTCCACGTAAGATCTTCCATTATGGTCATAATGTAATCTTCCATTCCAAAATGGCACTATTCACACTGATTTAGGCTCATTTTTTCTTTTGCTTTGGAAGTGCCTAATTTTCAGCATTTCCAGATGATTTGCTGAACTCTCTCCAGTTTATTCTTTGCTAATTCCAAAACATTTCAAAATATTTACACATTTTTTCGAATTCCCTGATCTTGTACCTGTGTTATGACCATTCTGGAAAATTTTACAATGTTTTGAGGGAGTATTATGGGGCATACCAGATGTGTTATTCCCCCAGTGCTCCTTTCATTCCCTTGCTTTACTAGAGCTTTTGGGAACATTAATAGGTGCTCTACATTTTAAAGTTGCATTAAATGAATGAACCGGTGGAGGTAGAAAATGAATCATATCTTCAGCATTAAGGCCCCCTCACATATGCAGTCTTGTGAATTCTGACAATTGGAAATATTAACAGGCAAACCGAAGCGCATCGTTGCTAATGCTTCCGAAGCTGTCCGAAGCTTTCCGAATAGATACTTACACATATGGACACCCCAACGATGTACAATGTACAAAAAATATTTCATTAAGATTGGTGCAATATTAAGAAAGTTACAATATCTTTCACCTTATTTATTGGACACCCTGTACATATACTAATGGGAACGAATTTTACTCAAGTCTTATTTGCAAGACTGCGTTTAGTGGATTCGTTCACATGTGAGGTGGCCTTTAAAAAACAATTGCAAGTTGATAATGCTAAATCATGCTTCAATTTGGAGTGCAACAATATTCTCATAAATCGTAGGTTCGGTTAAATTGTAGATAGGATAGAACTAATTGAACTAAAGAACCTATTTATTAAACTTATAGCTTGCAATTGTTTTGGGCTTCATAGATAATGGGTTTGTGGAACTTGATTATTTGTGTTATTTCCATCCCTAAATACTAAACCATATTGGGGCGGAGCTTGGTCCATAGTACAATAACGTCATTTCTGCGGGCAATATAGTGAAATATTGGACCAAAGCCGCAGGCCCAAGGTCCAATATTTCACTATTTGCCCGCAGAAATGACGTTATTACTATTATTACCACTGTTAATGCCCAGGGCTGAAATAGCAAATTTGAAATAGAAAATCTTACGCACTGAACAATATTACTTTTCCCGGGCGTATAATGTCATTATTGCCCGACTAAAGTCATTAACGCCCGACACAATATTGCTCACGTCAATATAGCAATTTAAATGCCTTCTCAACTTGTACTAAGACCCCTAGAACAGGCCCTGCAAGGTGGTAATAATTGGTTTTCTCTTGCCCAACACGTTCATAAATTACTAGCTGCATGATAAAGTGATCATCCAATCAAATGAGAATTCATTGATGAGAAAACATGAAAGGACAGGGACATCAGTATGAAATTAATTTAGTTGCTTAAATTAACCTCCTCGTTGTAGTTGTAGAATCAAAAAGAATGGTATCTTATGTGTTATAGCTATTTGATGTTGTTTGGGTTCAAATGTATCATACTACATATTGTGTGCAGTCTCTGTCTGTTGTTTGTGCTTATTCTATCCTTTATTCCACATATTATCAGACTTTTCTTAGTGTGGTTCTCCTATGTCTACTAACAAACCTAGAAAATATTTATGCATGTTGATATAGAGAAATTACAAGTTTTTGAGATATAGTAGATTAGAAAATTGGATTAGATAGAGCTCTGTGACAAATTATCATAAATCTGCTCACAGTAGACTTTGTGCAAATATAGGCATAAGTTTGTCATTTCAATCATCAAGAGTTCAAAATATAAGTTCTTGTGCTTTACGAACAATAAGTAATTTTTTCTTTGATTCAGCTTTGCCAAAACGATACCAGGAACATGCCAGGAAAACTCAACCAATCAGAAGTCCTGCTAGTACGCTTGATAGGAAAAAGATCGCAGAGGATGACGCTAAAAGGCGAGAACATATGGTAAGAAATATATTTTAGTTGTATATGTCTAGTCTGACCAGCGTGAATAGATTCTAACAATTATAGTTATAGTAAACTGTTAGTTCAGCATTTGAAGTATCTTTAGTGGCAAATTATTAATATTAGCTGGTAAAACAGTTATGATGTAGAATATTTATTGAATTCTATCATTTGATCTTGGCCAAAATGACTCTATCCTGTCCTACTGTCAACCTTAATTTGGCCAAAACAATGACTAGAAAACTAAAATAGATAGTAGGAATAAATTTGTATACATGTTCATGTAAGTTGTTTATAGACAATTACTGCCAACAAATTGTTCTTTCTGATCATGCTTGATTTAATTAAGTACTCAATAAAAATGTTCTGCCAAATTTATAAAATACTATATTACAAGCTAAACTGTATTGAAATCCCGGAAAATCAGACATTCATTAATCTAAGAAAAAAAGAAATAAGCATGGCCAGAACGACAATAGGTATCAACAGTATGATAAATTACAACACATTCTCATATTATATGACATGTTTTGCACTGCAGCTTGATGACATCGATAGTTTTGTGGTACGTTTTAAATCCCCCAGTCCCACACACAAAACCAGATCATGTAGTTTGTGTAATAGCATGCTTTGACCCTTATGTGATATTAGTTTTGGCAATAAACAGAAACACACAAATAAAAATGGGAGGGGTACTTGAGAGGGAGGGGAGTTCTAGACACAATCACATGTCCAAAGGGAATGATGTTACCAAACTTGACACCTTGCAGATGGTCAAACCATACACCAAAGATATAACAGTATACTGGACAATATATGTACACTGCATGTATCACATTATTGTACAGTATATATAATGCAAATCAACACAAACCTATGCCATGCCCTTTATAGTATATTCTCTGTGAGGTTGTACCTCATCCCCATATGAGAGCCTTGTGAGATATGCCATTCCAATTTGGGATTTACCCTAATTTGCCAAAACTATACAGCATAGAACTGTTCCAGATTTGATTACTAAATATATATACTGTACATTTGCATCAATGTATTCTGTGATTTGTATTGCAAATGATTCATCCGAGATCTCCACCCATGTTAGTTTTCTAGTTGTGTTTAGTATTTTAGTTATGTTGTGGTCATATATTGTTTCATATGTTGTGATATGATGAGGTTACACATTTTATTCATTTTATGTTTTGAAATGTGTTTTTTTTCGTTGCTGGAACTCAACATTGTGCTTGTTAATGTATGTTGTCATAGTGATGATTCAATTCTTTGTGGGTGGGTCCAATATACAAGGGTATGGGTAAAAGGGAAATAGTCTCCCAGGGTACAAAGGCCCTATCGTCAAAGGCTAGAGAGTTAGAGGCTTATTACCAGAGACGAATTGATACATTTTATCTTATGAACTTTTTTGAGGCATTCTGGCTGACCACGCCTTATCTTCCAGTACCCATTAAATAGTAATGGAACATGATATGGAGTGATTGCTTGATGATTTCAGTGGCAATCAACCATCAAAGTTATAATATAACTGAGTTGAGACAGGAACTATTGTCCATTGTATCTAGTGCTATTAAAATTGCTCCTCTGACTCTGTTTCCTAGTTGCAATGGCAACCCCTATTCCACTTTTGTGGACTAAATCTCGACAATATTTTCAGGATAGCCTACTTCGACAAATGTTTAATGCTTCTGACAAAACTTGAATAACATATGATCAAGAATAAAAGTTCTGGAGCAAAATTAGCTTTACTTGTTGAACAATCTTTACTCTATGTTGGGGAGACAAACAAATCAAGATGGAAGGGGGGGGGACTTTCCTCGTTGTATTTTTGCCATACATAATTTAACAAAAACTATATCTGGAATTCATCCCTCATATGATACATCTAGTGTATTAATCTAGCAACACATTGCTGTGCTCTGGTGTTGAAGTCACTCTGGGTCACATGTTTGATTGGAATGACACATTTTTTACTAAACATTGTACTTTTTGACACATCTTTAAGTGACATTATAGATCAAGATACTCTTTAAATTATATTTACCCCTCCTTTGCTCACCTCCCCTCAATGCATTATATTAGATTCCTAAAGTGAAGCTTCAACCAGAAGGGCCTGATCACTCAACCATATTGTCAGTCATGTTTTAGTTATTTGCATTCTTTAGAAATTTATTTAAGTTGAAACATTGATTTCTAAATGTTTTTTTTGTCTTTTGTTAGTGTGTCCCCTTTAATTTTTTGCCACTTTTCTTACATGAATCAAATTACACAATTTTATTTTCCCATTGTGTTTCCTTCATTCAAATTACACAGATTGCTATAGTTATAATATAGATAAGAGTTGTACCACATTCATTACAGTCAAACCTCTTAAGTTTGCCCTAAGAAGAAATATAGATGGCAGCACACAACTTACAAAAGTGTTTCACTAGTACTTAACAGGTTTAACTGTAATGTTGATTTTTCTTACCTCAAGCACATTTGACATATTATTCAACTTAGAATAGATTATACTGTATCTATAAAAGATATCAATATTTTTTTTTGTTGTTATAGCAACAGATGTATGAAGAGGAAAAGAGAAGAAAAGCCATGGAGGAGAAACAGAGGAATGAGGCAAGGAGACACTCAGATAACCTCCTGTGAGTATGATATACTGAAATTAATAAAAGTGATTATTTATTTAGTGTTAAAACTGTGTTGTTAGTGGGAAAAGATCAGTACTAAAATAATACTTTTGAGCTAATTAAGCATTAAAAAACTAGATAAATGGTTGGTATAGCTATACATCTACATGTGTATCTACTCTAGTAAATTCATGCTGTTGAACCGCGATGACTTGTGTGTGTATATTGCACATGGGGCTAGTTTGCTAGATCAACTACATGCATATAGCTGAGGGACTTGTCCATAAAGCCTTTGATCTCAATTTGTTTTACTAAGATGTAACCTATCTTCCCTTTGCTTAGGCCTGAGCAGAAATCTCCCATCCCAACCAACAGGTTTGACGAGGGTGACAGACTGCCAGATCACACAAAGTTACGAAAGAAGAAAATTGGAACTGAGATACGGGGCAAAGCTAAGGCCATCTATACATTCAATGCTCAAAACCCCAAGTAAGTGAAACATTCAACATCCAGTTGCACATTACCTGAAGACTGGCAGCAGTGAATGTTCAATCTTTACAAGAAAATATTCATACCTTCCATAATATGCACTTCATGTACATGTAAATTAAAACACAAAAATTGTGATGCCACTGGCTAAGAGCTTATTTGAAGAATCATATTGCCCTAGTGAGAGTTGAATCACAATTCTTCAGTGACCAGTACTGCACTAACCATAATATGAACAAAGCCATGAAATGATACAAACTGTTTCAGGGAGTTATCGTTCAAGCGAGGGGACTCTATCTACCTGACCAGAGATATTGATGGCAACTGGCTAGAGGGTGAGCACCATGGTAGAATTGGCATCTTCCCCAAGAACTATGTTGAGGTATAACCTAAATTAACTGAACATGTCAAGTTTTGTCTTTGTCATGTTTATTTTAATGAGAACTGTCTCATTTTTTTTATTTATTAAAAAAAAAAAATATGTCACATAGGGTTTATTGTAAACATAATGGAAATTACAATTTAAAGAGATTCATACATATTTGTGTTTACTTGATTAATCATTTGAATCGACTTAATAAATCATGTGTTGCATTGTAAAATTTTATTTTGATATTCCATTGTAGGTGCTGACATCTATAGCAGACGCAAAAGCAGCTGCAGCAGACGCCGAGGGTCAAGGTCGCGTCAAGTACAATTTCAATGCACAAACAAATGTGGAACTTTCACTTAAAAAGGTACTTATATAAATAGCAATTACAACTTTTTGTCTTTCGTTTAATTGTTTAATTGAGTAAAGTTTATTTATGACAATTAAATTATTATGTTCTGATCCAACTTTTCAAAATGTTTTTCAAAAAATTCAAATTAGTATATCATACAGATATTGTGGGCTAAATGAAATTTCTGAAGAATAACAAGGATCTCCATAATATTAGAAATATCACTGGCTGTTATTGTACAGATAATTCAATAATCATGGGACAAATGATAAATCTTGTATAGGACTGTAAATCTAAAATATATATTACAATTTCCTACTTTCAGGGTGATACAGTGACATTAACACGTAGACTGGACGAGAACTGGTATGAAGGTCGTTGCAAGAATCAGACAGGGATATTCCCTACGTCATACATTGACGTAATCAGGGAGCCAGATACTCCACTAGTGACACCTATGTCTTCCCGCATGACCACACCAGCCACTTCAGGGTTTACCACACCAGCTAATTATGATTGTAAGCAAATTAAATAATTTTAAAATGGTCTTTATTTTCTATTTGCCTCATATTATTGAAAGAAATCTGCTGTGTTCTTCTAATTGAAATGCTTTAAATATCCATGCATTAAGACACTGGACCCATATTTTCCAATATAATTATGGGCCTTATATTGTAGTGGATTCTCCCAATGGTCCTCTCTCACCAAACATCCACATGAATGGGCCCACAGATGGTATCGACGCTTTCTCTCCAACACCCATGGATAACTACAAACGCCAACAACAAGACAGCTTTCATTATAATGGCCACGGGGGACATGAACAGCAATCAAGAGTTCCAGAGCAGCGTTCATCAGCTCAACAGCAGCAATCTGAACAGCGATCATATGGTGTAAAACAGCAAAGTCAAAGTTCCCCCCATGGTTACCGACAGGAGTATATGCCCCCTGTACAGAAACAACCCCAGCAAAGAGCACCACAAAAACAGGAATTGTCCCCAAGTAAAAAAGATATAGAAGTCAATACGTAAGTGCAATTTTATTTCATTAGTTGGTTATTGCATACTATTTTGATTATATAAATAAATGAATATTTCTTCTTCATAGTAACAATTTTAGTCTTTTGAGAAAGGGGGAATTTTAAATTTCATGTAATTACAATGTAGTTGCATGAAGCAGTGTGTTTTGGGATTCCTAGATTTGGATTTTAGATTCATTATGCTTTGAATATTGTAAAATTAATTAGTTTTCGTTGTTGCAACCTGTGTGATTTGATTTTAGTTATCTTTATACCTAGAATTTATAATGCATTTCATCAGTGTTCAATGTCATTCAATCAAATTCTTGAATACTTCAAACCAAGTTCTTCAAACAGGAACATTTTTGAAACTTTATTTTTGATATTTGGTTGCAGCAGTTTGCCCCATTTAAGACAGTACCCCTGGTAGGTGACATAAGACTGGTACCACCAATACACCCTTCCTTCCCTAGCTTGCTTGTTCACCATGATTATGCCTCTTTTTGTCCATATTTAGTGGTTGAGGACCACTTTAGTACTGTTTAAGACTGCTGGTCTTATATTTTCATGTATGACTTAAATCCCATGCTTTGGTTAAAAATAGACTATACTGTCATATCTTATATTAATCAAACAATACCCACAATTCTTGGATAAGAGTATGAGTATAAAATGCAATATTATGAGCCTGGTATAAGTAAAATATATAAGAGAACTCTTGAGCAAGTTCTTCAGAAAAATTACCTTGACCTTGCCTTTAAAATGTATCACCATGCCCTCTAGCTGTTCATATCCACCTGCCATTGCTTAGACCTTATGAATAATTCACAGTAGTTTGAAGCTCTATCACTTTATTTAAGTTACAAATGTTGAAGAGCGACATCTATCTTTATAAAAAGCTTCCTCTCTATTTATAGCCAAATATCTCATAATTTTAAAGCACTATCTAATCAAAATCCCATCATCATAATTAAGTCATTAGTACTTGTAATTGTGATTTTTTTTGTGTTGCAAGCTGGTACATTGTTGATTATTTTGTTTTTTAGTGTTTTTAATTTATTGTAGTTGTTAAGTGTTGTTTCTCAATCATTTCAGTGTGCATGTTTTTTAGTTCTACAAAAGAATGAGATGATTCATGTTCATTTATATTTTAGTTAATCTAAGTACACTATATGTTAAAACACTTGTGTTTGTGCATCCCCATTGATTGTTGCTTGTTGCTTCTGTCTGCTTTTGCTTTTATTAACAACCATATTATGTAGTTTTAAAAAGTGTATTTGAATGTTATTTGTTGCATTTTTGATGTTTATGTGTTTGAGACACAATAAATAGTTAAGATGTAATGTAATTTAATGCAGTTACCGAGCGATTTACAATTACAAACCTCGAAACGAAGATGAACTGGAGTTAAAAGAGGGAGATGAAATATACGTTATGGAAAGATGCGATGATGGATGGTTTGTCGGCACGTCAAATAGAACGGGACATTTTGGTACTTTCCCTGGAAACTATGTAACTAAGCTATGTAAGTAAAACACAGCAATTCAGTTCTAGACATGAAATCAGTGAATGAAATTGCTTAGAAAATAATACAGAAGTTGTGATAAAATGGCATGAAATAGCACAATTATATGCTTTTAAAATGCAAAGATATGCTGGGCTAGTCATGTTCCCTGCTCAATACAGCATCACATTTCCGAAAGAAGATCTGCATTGTGTCTTTAATATGATACAAGAGTATTGTTCAAAATATTTACAAGTAAATACAATACAAAAACTGAAAAAGCTTGCAAAAATGTAATAATAAGTGCTTGTTTAGAACCAGAATGTATGTTATAGGAACAATAAGCTAAATAAGGCATGTGCATTACCATTTATGAGGTCTCTATCAAAATGCTTACATGGATGCATGTGGCAGTTAACAGTAGGGAGAATAGACAACCTGTGGTGTTATCTTAGTAACCCAAAAGCTCTGACAAGTTGGCAAAAACAGGATTGACAAAGGGGTCTAAGCTGTATTAACATTTGCATTTGTTTGCATTACACATAGAACTAGAATAGCCACTGAGCAGCTGAATTTGGCTTTCATTGAAGCTGCTGGTGACAGGTGTTGCCATCTTTTAATGGTGAAGAGAGTGATTAACTTGGCTTAAAGTTCTCCAACATATTATATAGATATCATACCTGCCAACTTCTCCTTTAAATGGGGAGGTCTAATATTTCTCCCATTTTTTTTTGTTTTCTCTTCGTATAAACACCCCCCTTGTAGTAACTAAAACAATTTCTTTTGTTTTATGGGCAATCGGTTGGCAGGTATGATTCGTTATTGTTGCACTAGCTCTCTTGACCTTTCTAAAAAAGGTAAAAAGCCAGGCATGGAACATATGTGTATTCTTTTGTATTTGTTTACCATTTCTTATGTTCTATTTTCAGAAAGTATGACAGAAAGAAGTTCTTCCTATAGACAGTCATGTATATCATACACAGTTTAACACAGATAGGGACTGTTAGCACTGGGACAACCCATACCATGAGGACTACACACCAATTTGCATGTTCTGTACAGTGAACACCCTTTGCAAAATGGAACATGTTGAATATGTGGAAGTACACACCCTTTGCAAGGTAGTACTTGTAAAATACATGGAAATGTACACCCTTTGCAAGATAGTCCTTGTAAAGCACATGGAAGTGCACATCCATTGCAAGGTGATCTTGCAAAATACATGGACTTTTCGAAATACATCTTAAATGTGTGGGAGATTGTTGAATTATGAATCAGGACCATGCATAAACAATAGAGAGTCATGGAGATTGAATTTGTATCAATATTGAATATATTGAACATGCACTGGTGCCGCTGAAAACAATGGACTTGGATTATGTTATCTGAACATTTTATATGGATAGGTGACTTTTATTGTTGACATGGAAATGTGACAAGGATTGATGCAAGAATAGACATTTTAATGATGCTACTAAATGAGAGAATCTTAGAATGTATGCTTACACAGGTAATGCATATACCTAACGAAGCTTCGAGAGATAACGAGAAACTCAGTAATCCCAACCTTTGATGGAGGATTTGAAACTGACAGAGGAATTCTGGACAGCAGTTTCAGTGGTAAAATGGCCACTATGGAGAAAGGGTACGAGGATTACGTGAATGTATATAGACATAGTTTTATTAATGCTAAACACCATAATATATGAAATGAAACAATGAAATAAGTTTATGATTATATAATTTGCATCATATATGATGCCTACATGTATACAATACACTGGGATATAATATATATTCATTGTTAATTGTGCCTGGTAGGCAACAAAAAAATCTTAATATTTGGTGATATAGAGATACATTGTGTTCAGTTAGAAGTAGAGTGATGGATTGAAGGCTGATGAAATTAGATCTAGCAGACCCACAATGTGTGTTCGATTGTTATAACATAGTGTATATAGGAATACAATTCACTAAGTGCATTATAGTGCAGACAACCATCTATAGATGGTGTTTTATGTATCACTGCATCCATCTATTGGATGAGGTTTGAACTAGGTGTAGATGAAATATTATTACTTGTGAATTATAAATACTACAATAGCACTTGGTTATGTAAATAGTATGTTAAACCAATGAAATGTTGCACTGTACAATTATGCACCTATTCATTTTTAGAATATAAAAGCTTTTAAAGTGTAAATATATTCCACATTTGGAAATTCATATTTTATTGCCTCTATTTACTATATATCCTACAATATAATAATATATTGAAGTCCACTTTACACTTTATGCACATTAGGTAAACATTATTAAGTTCATTTGATTTATTTCATGGATTGGGACTACATGTTGAGCTTTGCTGTTTAGAATATGTGCTAATTGAATAATTTGTTAGATAGATTTGCACCTTGCATAACTGACAATGTACAGAGTGGAGTTCATTTACTGTTATGTAATGATAATCATATATATAATTTATTAAACTGATAGAGCAAATAAAACATGGGCTGGATCTGCTTCATGAATATCAGATACATCTCACGATGCTTGGATTAAATTTTATGATTATGATGTACATGGCAGAATTGATCATATAACTTACATTTGTTTGTCTTCTGATCTTGCCAAAATGATGTATACAGTAAATAGTATTTTAAATCATTATGCCAAGTTTAATTTAGAGCAGTAATCCTTACAATTACAAAATTTTATTCACTCAATTACAAATAATTCATTGATCAATTTTTGCACATTATTATATTGTTAAATATTATCCAGATGATGTTACAATGGAACGGGATTAGCATTTTGAAGTTCATTGCTTCATTTTATATTAATTCTGTGTAACCATAGAAAATTGTTTTATTGAATATTTATTATCATCAACACAGATTATATCGTGGAATATGTGTGAATAGAAAGTGTATGTAGGTTGTATTTATTGTTATGTATTTAGTGTCAAGGAGTTGAATGATCATGTATAAGTCTACTGCCGAAAAAGCAGGCAAATAATGAAGTTCAAGCAGGATTGATTAATAAATATATACATTATTTTTCAAGATCAAATTTTGAAAAGTCTTCAATCAAAATAAACTCATCGGTGTATTTAGTACAATGTATTTATATTTACAGTATAATGAAATATTGCTTCATAAAATGACAAAAGGAAAATGTAAGAAATTGACACTGTGTGGTACTATTATTAACACAATTTGGTAGACTATTAGTATATTGAAACTATTTTACAAATAATCAGCTTGTTAAATCATAAATCAGATGCAATCACTGCTTCATTGTGAATTGTGTTAATGTAGGTCAGATAGATGTCACCACTGAGGATTAATGTTGTAAAATGCTACCATTTATATGTATGGCTTTTGACTAGAAATATCTGCAATTCTAATAAAATGTTTTGCCATATAACATTATATATCTGTTGTGTTACTGTTTATCAAAAGGCCAGCACGGGTTTTAGGGGTTTTAATGGATATGATAAGTATTATAGTGACCTCCTGTATCACAGATTTGACTTGTAGCATAGCATATTTATATTTCATTTTGTTCCAATTCTTCCATATCTCAACTTGGGGAATGTTATATTGAGAACTCACAAATAATGCAAAACTTGATATTTATGTTTAGTTCAATGCAACATGTTTATTTTACCTTCAGATATTCCTTGTGTAGTTACTATCAGAACTTGTGTTGATATACCAGGTCGTTCAATAAATTCAAAATAGTTTGAGTTATAAATATTAACTCAAACCATAACTCGATCTAGATAACAGAAAGAAAGGAACAAGAAATAATTGCACTAAAAAAAAATGTTAACAAAAATATATATAAATAATTTTTGCATTAAATTGTTGCCAATCAGTCATCAGTCATTACTTAAAGGACCATGTTTTTTACAGAATATTTTCAATAATTGGTTTAAGAGAAAAACATTGTTGAATTCAGTTCAACATATCAATACCTATCCTTTCTATTGGTTTCTTGATTATCCCATCAAACAAAGTTCGGAGGGATATAGGGAACATCTCCGTCTGTATGTATGTCTGTCCGCCCAGGCAATAACTCAAATACCGTTTTGTTCATATTTTATACACATGTGCCCTATGGGGATAGAAGTTCTGCTCGAAAGCCGATTTTGAAAATGGTCGCTCGTTTCAAAATGGCGGCCATTTTAGTGCCGATTTTACAGTTATTTAGGTATAGTATATAAAACTGTAATAGCAATGTGTTTTAAATGTAAAAAGGTTATATAGGACATTAATAAAGCTAGACACACAATATTTAAGAAACACATGGCAGCCATCTTGAAAAAATGGTGGCTTTTACACGCTATTTTTGCTATAACTTGAAAAGTAGTGGAGCGATATTGTTCATATTTGAAATGTGACTACTTATTATGACACTTTGGCTAGAAGACGACATTTTCAAAATGGCCGCCATTTTACATGCATTATTTTACGTTTTTTACTAAAACTCAAAATGTAATAGAGCGATTTTGTTCATATTTGATATGTGAATACTCATAAGCATAGTACATTGTTTTATGATAATTTGGCTAGTGAACGACCATTTTGAAAATGGCCGCCATTTTTACTTGTGTTGTTTTATGTTTTTTACTATAACTCAAAAAAGTAATAGAGCGATTTTGTTCATATTTGATGTGTGAATACTCATAAGCATGGCTCATTGTTTTATGACACTTTAGCTAAAAGGTAGCCATTTTGAATTTTTGCTATCACTGAGATTGTAGCAGAAGGATTTTGTAAAAATGGCAGCCATGGCTGTTCGATGGGATTTGCTACACTTTGGTGTTGCTGTTGTCTAGTTAGCCCATGTCCCATACAATATATTAAGAATTAACAATATATTAACCAATGACAAATCCCATCTGACCATCAGTTGGTGTTAAACTGGCAGCATTTTCTACAAACATGCAATCAGGACACAAAATGCATGCTAAAATCAGTCTTATTTCAATCTGGAGTGATTTTGTCTGTTTTCTTTACTATTATCTAGTACATTGTCAAGCACACTGGTCGGAGTTGAAGAGTCATTTCTTAAAGAAACAAATGATGTTGACACTCTTCTTATATCATCAGGGGTTCTGGGGGTTCCTTGTCTTGCATGAACTGGTTGATGTTGTGTCATGTCTCCAATTTGTATCTCAGGTCTGTAGTGTCCATTCTGTTGTGAATTTTGCCCCTTGGTTGGCACTATACCATCACGATGGCTGATTTGGTCACATGACACTGGCCACATGACAATGTTTTTAAACTATTTCATAGATATCGCTGTAACACATTTTATCATATTTCCAATTATTTAACCCCTGTAAGAATGGTGACTACCCTGTCGTAAAATAACTTTCATTTGCAATATTTTGATAAGGATTTCAACTTGTCTCCCGGTTTGCTGTGTCTTTTACTGTTATGAAAATAAGTGTCGATTTACGCACGAATATGTGGGTTAAAAATGATAGAAAATACTGTGTTCAGATTGGCTGGAATTGGACACACCTTGCATAACTATTTGTCATCATCATTAAAGACATTGTAAAGAATCTCCAGCAGCATAAGTGATATTAAAGCCAAATAAATAATTTATAATAAAAACTTTTGTGTGAAGAAATTAAACTTTTGTTGTGAAGCAGTTTTACTACAGTTCGGTGATAATGAGGCATATGTGGTCTAAAGTGAAGGACTTTCTTCCTGTTCTCAATTAAATGATGGGACTTGGCTGATTTTACTGTTTTTTAAGTTAATGGCATGATCATGACAGTGGTTTTATTGAAAGATAAATAGCAAGTGATGTGAAATACTTGGCACATGCAACTATAATGTCCATGTATGCCAAGACACATATAACATACAGTATCTAATACCTATACGTATAATTGAGTTTAATTTAGTATATATCCCAAAACAGTGTTACTTTAGTGTTGGTTTTCCTTACCTGTAGCACATTTATCATATTATTTTTAAACAACTTTAAAGAAGTTGGAAGGCCATGGAGGGGAATCAGAGGAATGGAGCAAGGAGAGACTCAGATAACCTCCTGTGAGTATGCAATACACAATTAATTAATTTAGTGTTAATACTGTTACAAGTGCTAGTTAAAAGGAATACAAAGTTTTGTCTTCTAAACTTGATCTTCCAATCCAACTTAGTTTTGTTGTTGTATCATTAACCCCTTAATTGTTATTGAGCCCGGGATTTTGCATGTGAACTGGACCATGGAGCTGCCATTTTAACCAATAAGCGGTTCTTTACGGCATTGTTATGACGTCATTGATGCCATAGAATTCCCAAAAGATTTCTGGCGCCATTTTTGAATAAAATGCCGACTTGTTTATATTTCGTTTGCAACAATAGACCACATGGCGTAGAATAATGGAAGTACGTCACAACGCATGCGCGTAAATCGACATTTCATGGTCCAAAGATTTCAATGGAGAGCAGTCTTCATCAAAATTTAAAATCTTAATAACTTTTTAGCAAATCATTTATTTTCTTAGGATTCAACGGATCCTTGTTAGACCCAACGAAGTGTTCATTTTGATATATAAAATGGCCTTTTAATGATTCAATTTTCGGGATATTTTGCTAAAATCCCCCATTGGCCGCCATTATGAACTTTGAAAAAACACAAATCCTCATCATTTCATATAATTCGTTAAGTGATCTAAACAACTCCAATCGCTTAGGATTCAACGGATTCTAAGAGATCAAACTAATACAATATGTTGACAACCCCCGTTTCAATATTTGCCGCATTTCCATTATTCTACGCCATGATCTAAAGAAAATAATATAAAATTTCGTAGGATTCTGGACGGGAATTAGCGGCTAGATGGTTTCATAATATTTGAACAGTTGATCGAAATGGTATACCGTGGAATGTACACAATAATTCCTTGAGGATACTTTTCTAGTAGAATATAATGCGATTACTTTCATAAGTTTGGTGATTTTTCTACCTACCCTATATAACATTGAAGAAAATACACACAGTAGTTTATAATTAAAAACAGGCCTTGTAGGAATTAAATTCATTTTTGAAAAATATACATGTATTGAAACAACCTTTCCAAATATATATGACATCGAAAATGCGGCGACAATATTTAGCGGACATAGTTATAAAATATCAGTAAAATGTGCTCTATTTCTGTGATTTGAGTATGATGTGATATCTAGCGACACTTTTCAGGCATCAATTTAAAGGCATCAATGACGTCATTGATATATAACAATGGCGGCATTCGCTGCGGTCGAGATATGGGTGTTTTGAACTTGAATTACAGTTCAAACACGATATGTCAATTGGGTGAGCTGAAGTGAAAGATGATGGTAATAAGTAGTCAGCTTGCAAATTGGATCATGAAACTTCGCATTACCTTTAAGCACTGCAGTATTATATTTTACTGCAAATACATGTAGACCAGTCTATATTTGTGCTGTAGTGTTATCATTAAACATTAAAATAAAGTTAAATTGTGGGTGTACAATTCTACACTATCCTAAAATGTGACATTTTTATTCATCAAAGTGTCTCTTATGGGATAATTGAGGCTGTTGAACCCCAATGACTTGTGTGTGTACGATATTGCACATGGAGCTAGTATATAGCTGATGGATTTATCAAATATCTTTTTGATCTCAATTTATTTTACTTAGATAAAATCTATCTTTATTTTTATTTTTCTTAAAGACCTGAGCAGAAATCTCACCCCAATTAGATTCCTCAGTTACGTGCCTAATGCTGTTATAACCATGCCATTAAAAATGAAATGATACAAAAATGTTTCAGGGAGACGCATGATGCAGCAGACGCCGAGGGTCAAGGCTACGCCAAGTACTCTTTCAACGCACAATCACCTTCGGAACTTTCATTCAAGAAAGTACTTGTATATGATAATTTTTAATAATAATAATGACCATGCAATTCCAAATTTTTGAATTTTGTAACTTGATAACTGAGAATCAAAGCAGTGTCCTTGTATGGCGATGGTGACTGTTGCTTCTTATAGGCCTTAGCAAAGAACCATCTCAATATCTCACATATATTGTAAAATATATGAAAAATATAATTTGTTTCGTGTGCTGTCAGAGTTGTTCTAATTTCACAGGACTAGTTCAAAATATAACATCATTTTGAGTGATGTCATTTAATCAATGATTTGATTTTGAATATCAAATATATGTATCATATATATGAGTGTAGATACTTGCTACATGTATGTACAAAGCGATTCAACAATAATATGGGAAATGATCTGAGATTAGGTTTATCTCATGATTACAATCAAATTGTCATGTTCTGATCCAAGTTTAAAAAAAAATCAAATTAGTTTATCATACAAATATGGGGCTGAAAAATAACACATGGATCTCCATAATATCAGAAATATCAC